CCTCCCCACAACCACTACCTCATCAACCTCCCACCACTGCCTCATCAACCTCCCCCACCACTACCTCATCAACCTCCCCACACCACTACCTCATCAACCTCCCACAACCACTACCTCATCAACCTCCCCACACCACTACCTCATCAACCTCCCCAACCACCTCCTCATCAACCTCCCCACAACCACTACCTCATCAACCTCCCCACAACCACTACCTCATCAACCTCCCCACATCACTACCTCATCAACCTCCCCACAACCACTACCTCATCAACCTCCCCACAACCACTACCTCATCAACCTCCCCACAACCACTACCTCATCAACCTCCCCACACCACTACCTCATCAACCTCCCACATCACTACCTCATCAACCTTCACACCACACCACTACCTCATCAACCTCCCACCACCCTGTCAACCTCCACCACCCCCACTACCTCATCAACCTCCACACCCACACCACTACCTCATCAACCTCCACACCCACACCACTACCTCATCAACCTCCCCCAACCACTACCTCATCAACCTCCCCAACCACTACCTCATCAACCTCCCCCTACCACTACCTCATCAACCTCCCCACAACCACTACCTCATCAACCTCCCCACAACCACTACCTCATCAACCTCCCCACAACCACTACCTCATCAACCTCCCCACACCACTACCTCATCAACCTCCCCAACCACTACCTCATCAACCTCCCAACCACTACCTCATCCTCCCCCACACTACCTCATCAACCTCCCCACACCACTACCTCATCAACCTCCCCCAACCACTACCTCATCAACCTCCCCACAACCACTACCTCATCAACCTCCCCAACCACACTCTACCTCCAACCACCCTCCTCAACCTCACCTCATCCCCAAAATCTTCCTTCACTTTCCTGGAGTTCAAGTAGCAGGGAGTGACGTAGTAGCAACAGCAGCAGTAGCCATTGATCTGAAAGCCTTGGTGGGTGAAGTGTGCATCACAGGGTCGTGAGGTCCGCCCTCTCACCCTCCTCATCACCCCCCCTCATCCGCCCCCTGTCTTCCTCCCTCCCTCACTGCTTTTGACAGTTGATTCGACTCATTCTTGCTTTCTCTGTTGCCGCTTATCATAAACAACTAGAGTACAATACAGGGTTTTTACATTAACTGAAATACAAATTCTCATATACTGTAATTTTTTTTTTTGAAACTTTGTTGGGGGAGAATTAAAAGAAATGAAGAAAATATTACTGGTTTGTTTTAGTATTTCAATGGTGTGAAGTCAATCCAAATGCTGACAGTCTCTCTCTCTCTCTCTCTCTCTCTCTCTCTCTCTCAAAATAGTCAAAATAGTGTAAATGAATAAATAAAACGATATCCTAGGTGGAGAGTGGGCGATGGCGGCAGCGTGATGGTGGATGGGCAGGGAGAAGTGTCTCATGCCGTGCTGCTGGCGCTGGTGCGATATGGCTCTGTTGTGAGGGAGGGTTTACTGCTGAGGAGGGAGGTGACGAAGTTAGATTATCGTTCTCGCATATGATAATCTTGCCTGCTTGCTTTTCTTTAAGAGTGGGTTGTTGTCATGTAGTGAATGAGTCTTGTTTTGGTGATGGTTATAAGAAGAGAACCCATGTATGAATGTTTGTCTGTCTGTATGTGTTTATGTATGTAATTTCGTGTGTGTGTACGCTTATGGTTATTTGGTCAGATATTTAAGTTACGATGTGTGTTGACCACTTTGTAAGGTTAGGGCAAGTCAGTCAGTCATGCGCAACAATACACAAATCTCTCTCTCTCTCTCTCTCTCTCTCTCGGGGAGTAAACACAGTCTTGTTTCTCTCACTCTGGCTGGGTTGGCGGGGGAGACTGTCTGGGGAGATGTGTGGGTGGTTGATGCCACTCATGATGATGATGTGAATATATAATGAGTCGACTCGTTATGTTTATTGTAATATTTTATGTTTAGATTGGTTTTCATGCCTTGATTTGTGATTGTGTTAATTTGATTTATAATAGTGATTCTCTGTATGTTTATTATTATTATTATTATTATTATTATTATTATTATTATTGTTGTTGTTATTATCTGTTCAGTGGTTCTCTACTTTAATTTTTAGTATATTAATAAGGATTCAGATCTTTAATCTTCCTCAGTATTACTAAAGTTATGTACAGTTGTGGAGATGTTCCGACGCCCCTGTGGTAACCCGCGTCTCAAACGGCCAACCTATATGACCTACACCAAACCTATCCACCAATCACGTCCATTGTTACACGACCAATACCCATTCATTCATAAACAGCGATACTACTATTGCGACGGTGCTGTACGGGGGACACGGGTTACCACGGGGGATGTAGGAACACATTTCCACAATTGTACCAAGTTAAAGTCACAACATACATCTGGTGCCATCTTGGACACAGTACCAGGGCCACGGGGGCATTTTTTACCATAAGAAGCTCTCGAGATTCTTGCCTCTGCCCCCCCCCCGGAGTTTAAAATATTTGGCAACAGGTGATGCTGCTGGTTCAGGTGTCTGTGTTTGTGTCTGTTATAGGCGCGCTCAAGTAACTGTGTGTCTGTATTATCAAAAGTTTATTACGGAATATAGAGGATGGACTCTACTTTGGTCCCGAAAAAAAGAACTCCATTTGAGTACTTGAGTCTTTATGCACTGTGGGAACGAGTCTTTGGATGGTGCTGGCAAACGAGCCAGCAAAACCCCTGAAACGAGTCTCTGGATGGTACTAGCAAACGAGCCTCAGAAACACCTTTCCATGCCTGTTGATGACGCTGCAGTAATCTCTCGTTTCATTACGCGGGTCTCAAGGTTGCCCGGCCAGGTGGATGGGTGGCAGACGTCAGCTGATTACGGCTGAAAGGTAAACAATGTGTTATTTTGTCTTGCTAATCTAAATTACGAAGTGGGAATGTAGGAAGAGGAGGAGAGATGATAGGGAAGGAAGAAGGTGAGAAGAAAGAAAGAGTAAGGAGGAAGAAGGGGAGATAGTCTGATTGAGTGAAGGGATGGAAGAAGGGAATAAAGAAACATAACGAATAAGGAATTAGATATAAAACAAAAGAAGCGAAAATTAACAAGGACTTGGTTAGTTGTCCTTCGTGACAGGAAAAATACAATCTCTAGCGTTGGCATCTTGACACACACACACACACACAAGGTTGGGTTAGGCCACTGATTTAGAAGGTGAAGTCATTGTACAAAACAACGCCTAAACTCGGCAGAGAGAGAGAGAGAATTGTATAAAACAATTGATTTTATTTCACTTTTATCATATTTATCATTATTTATTTAATGCCTATGAACGTGGAAGTGTGTATGTGTACATGTATAAGAACATAAGAAAACAAGGAGTCTGCAATTGGCTGGTTGTCCTGTGCATGGCAGCTCCTGTCGAGATTCTACCACTCTCTATCGTCCATGAATCTATCTAGCCTCCTTTTAAAACTTTCCAGTGTACCAGCACTTACTATAAAGTTGATAAGCTTGTTCCACTCGTCTACCACCCTATTTGTGAACCAGTTCCTTCATATCTTCTTCCCAACTTAAATCTGTTGCTACGAGTCCTATCCTGCTCGGATAATATAAGAACTTGATCTATATCGCCTTTATTGATTCCTTTCACCCACTTAAATACTTCTATCATATCTATCTTGAAATGGAAGGTTTCTAAGTCCCGGAATCATTTTCGTCATTCTTCGCTGCACCGACTCCAGTGAATTGATATCCATTCTATAATAAGGGCACCAGAACTGAACAGCATGATCGAGGTGCGGCCTGACTAGCGCAAGATATAGTTGCAATATGACCTCCAATCTCTTGTTACTTACACTTCTAGATATAAAACCTAATACTCTGTTTGCCTTATTTCGAACATTAACGCACTGTTTTCTCGGCCGAAGATGCGGGCTTACAAGTACCCGTAAGTCTCTCTCAGAGTGTGTGTGTGACGTTTCATGTACACTTCCGGCGTGTGATAGCATCCATGGGCATTTGTAGGTCATCCGCTATCTGCGTAGTGCCTTGTCGATAGATAGTAGCCAGAAGGCCTTGGACTACCTCTTCTTACCAACGAGAGATAAGATGCGGGGAAATACTCGCCAAAGGATAAGAGAGATATAGGTACTTTGTCAAACAGGGAGGGTGGAAATCCCTGCAGTCCTTGTGTACCCCATGACCATGAGTGGTGATGGTTGTTGTTGTGGTGGTGACCTTGGTTGTGATGGTTGTGGTAAGCCTAGAGGGGAAAATACAATGTGTGGTGTCTGTGTGTGCATCTCTCCCTCCCATGTATATAAAAGTGCTCTCTCTCTCTCTCTCTCTCTCTCTCTCTCTCTCTCTTTTCTCTCTCTCTCTCTCTCTCTCTCTCTCTCTCTCTCTCTCTCTCTCTCTCTCTCTCTCTCTCTCTCTCTCTCTCTCAATATCCCCTTTTTCGTTTAGTTATCCCACGCAAAGAAAACGGGTCGCGCGACAAGTACACTCGTGACTTTTGTTGATAGGAGTTATCTGAGTGACGGTGTTGCTGACATTGGCTGATTGATCAAGGTTGGTGATGTCGTCAGGCAACAGGTAAAACAGTGTAACATATTCTAATTGGTTAATGCCTTTTGGACAGGTGTGTAGGATTGAATGAATGAGTTTTGTTAATCTGCGAATGTTAAGCTAGGTTGGGTTAAGTTGCGTTAGGTTAGTATTAGGTTAGGGTAATCGTGTCGTTATCCTGTTGATAAGTTAATACAGGTGTGTTTATCAGTAATGCGGCTTTGGTTCAGGTTCTTATCTAAGAGTGTTGAGGGAGGATGTTAAGCCGTCAGTATTTGTTGTTTGTGCGTCTGTCGAGATAATAACGAGGAGGAAAAAGCAGTTTAGATATGATTACAGGGAAGGGGTGGGGGGAATCTCTGGAGGTCCGTGATTGTCGAGGCTGGCTAGGAGGACACGAGGGTGAGACACGGCCGGAACAGGTTGTCTGGGGTATATAAGAGCAACACACCTCACTCTCACCGACATTCTTAATCAAGTTTGTGCTCGTGTGGGTGTTGTTGTTGTTGCTCACCCAGGCACCACGAGTGTCGACCCGCGAGGGAAGAAGACTCCTTTATATTTGGTGTCGGGAGTACCGCAGGTGGTGACGCTGTCTCCACCGCTACTTCTGCCCAGATTTGGTGCCTGCTGGTGTGGTCACTCGACGTAGAACCATCTTGCCTACTCCTTTAGGTGGTGGCTGACGAAGAAGAAGCCTTGTTGTGGTATACTAATTTTCGACATCGTATGGCTACTGCAGACGTGATCACTTAATGCACGCACCTTCATCACCTCCTACGGTAGACAACGAAGTAAACGGAAGATTTTGGTGTGAAAGTCTGAACGGTAGCCAGAGTAACGTGTGGTGTTGTACCTCTGCCTCACCCGCCCGTTCCTGCCTTAAATTAGACCAGCAACAGGTGCGAACAGTGACACAAAACAAAACTTGGACAGCCACGAGGAACACCCGAGATCAGACCAGAGTTTTGGAGAGGAGGTATAACCCTTGGGATTTCCTCTTGTCCTTTTACCCAAAATAATCTCTCGTAGGTGTGATGACCAAGAAGGCAACATTCCTCAGGGCACAACACAACAGATGACTCACAAGATCTAAGACGGTGATTAAAAAAACAAACAATTGGGACTGAAATTTGGTGGATTGGATTACCTGTTATACCTGTTAGTGTGTGGTGGTCCTCAGGTGCACACAGCTGATTACGTCTCTACACCTGAGTGATAGTAGTAAGGGAGGTGATACTGTCTCCTCTGACTGTCAGTACACCTGCACCTTTCCTCCATGAAGCTCGACTGGTAAGGAATTCTGGTTGAAATTATTTGAAACTTTTCTCTCGAGTGATCTAAAATGTTTGGCATCCTATAGCTGGTGGTAACCGGTATGTGTTGGCCAGTATCGTGTGTGGGTGTCTCTCCACTCGTGTCTTTAAGTGGAAGTTGACGTGTAATAAGCCGTAGTTAAAGCTTGTGAACTTCCTCTCTCCTTCCTCGGAGTGGTCGGTGCTCAGTGTAGTCAGACAGACACAAACACACACAGGACTTGGCGAGTTGCCCTTCTGTGTACGTCTGTGTGTGTACGTCTGTGTGTGTGTGTATTAGCCCAAGGAAAATAAACGTACCAGAGAAACACATTTTCTTCAAGAGTTGGAATAAAAACAACAGGTGAAATATGACCAAACACAGACCAGGTGACGTCAAGAGGTTCAGACAGGAGGAGAGTCAAGTGAGCTCCGTCGACATCAAATCTCAGTAAGTGTTGTGGGTGATGTCACAAAAAAAAAAAAACACGCGATCATATAACCCGCGCGATCTTGGAATCCAGAAGGAGGAGGAGGAGGAGGAGGAGGAGGTGGTGGGGGGAGGTGATAGTGAAAATGTTTATGAACACATACGACACAAACGAAATGTACATGACTATTTTTGTTTTTGGGGTGAAGTTTGTGTCGTGTACTATGATTTGCTTCTGAATCCAAGATGGCGTGGATTATAATCAGTATACTTGAGATAAAGTATTATGTTTGGGTCGCTTTTAATTATAAACACCTTGACAAGTAATGGCGAGATTACCGTTGTTTATAAAGCTATCAGTGTTCTCATTTGTTTTACTGGCTGTCAGACAACTGTGGCGTTTTTCATAGCACCATTATAGCACGTGAATGAATGGGAGTTTTTTTTCTTTATTACAAGCGCTTGGCAAGATGACTGGACAAGCACTGTGCAGATGAAGATGTATTTTATTTTATTTTTCACTACAGAGCTCTTTGAGTATGTAATTGGTAATGGTAGTAACATTGGTAGTGGTAGTTAGGAGTAGTTAACCTTACTTAACCAAACCTAACTTAAAGTAACTTAATCTTGACCTGACCTAACTTAACTTAACCTAACCTAACTTAACCTAACCTAACCTAACCTAACTTAACCTAACCTAACCTAACTTAACCTAACCTAACCTAACTTAACCTAACCTAACATTAATCTTACCTATCCTTAATCCAGTACTAAGGTAGTCTATTCCAGTGACCTCCCGTGACCTCCAACGACCTCGTAGGGCTGCCACAAATCTCCTTTACCCTGGATATTTAGGCTTAGTCGCGGGATTATTGTATGTATGGATGTGTTGGCCACCTGTAGTGTAATGGTCAGCATGCTCGCCTCGCAAGCGAGCGTACCCGGGTTCAATCCCCGGGCAGGGTGAAACTATGGGCAAGTTTCTTTACACCATTTGCCTCTGTCTACCCAGCAGTAATTGGGGATCTGGATGTTAATCGATTTGCGGATCGTGTTCCGGGGTAATGGTTCGCCAGTGCAGTTGGCGAGTTGTCCTGTCTTCTCGGACTGTTCCTTCTACTGGGTCATGCAGCTCATTAACTCAGGGTGTGGTTGTTGTGTTGGCGACAGCTTCTACACCTTAAATAAATTCACGCCGAGGTGGCCCGGCCATCCTCGTTACACGAGGGGCAACCATTATGTATTGATGTAATGTGTGTACAAGGCTTCTTCACCTACGCAGAAGACACTGTTGGGTCTTCACACTACCTGGAATGCTAAACACCTTAATTGACTGAGGTGTTCTTCGTCGTTGCCTGTGTTTGTTTGTCGTTGTTTTGTGGTTTGTCTGTGTTTGCCATTTTTTATTCGTCTGCATTGTCTCGTGTGTGTGAACGAACGAAACTTTCAGTGGGTCAGTCAGTCAAATCAGTGCGTTACCAGCTCGTTATTGTGAGGTGATGGTTGTTACAGTGTTGATAACTTGGGCAGTGATAGTGGCCGTGACTGACACTGATAACGTGATGGTAGTGCCAGTAATGATGATAATGATAACACTAATGATGAAAATGACTATAGTAACACTAATGATGATAATGACTATAGTAACACTAATGATAATAATGACTATAGTAACACTAATGATGATAATGACTATAGTAACACTAATGATGATAATGACTATAGTAACACTAATGATGATAATGACTATAGTAACAATTAATGATGATAATGACTATAGTAACACTAATGATGATAATGACCAGTAGTAACAATTCAATGATGATAATGACCCAGTAACACTAATGATGACAACACTATAGTAAACACCACGATAATAAATTCATATAATTCGATGGCTATAACAGACCATATAAATACTCCACGATGATAATGACTATGGTAACATTTATTTTATACACTGTAGTAACACTAATGATGATAATGACTATAGTAACACTAATGATGATAATGACTATAGTAACACTAATGATGATAATGACTATAGTAACACTAATGATAATAATGACTATAGTAACACTGATGATGACAATGACTATAGTAACACTAATGATGATAATGACTATAGTAACACTAATGATGATAATGACTATAGTAACACTAATAGTAGTAATGATGATGATGACGAGACTAATGACAGTAAGGATAATAGTAATAAAATAATGATAGTTAATGTAATAATAATGATACTACCGGGTAATTTTGATGATAATTATATAGTAATTATAGTAACAGTAATGATAATAATGAAAATATTAATGATGATTAATAATGATGATAATAATAATAATGTGAATAATGGTTATGATGATAATTTGGGGGAGGAGAGGAGGGGGGGGGTAGGGAAGTGCCGGGTGATGGTAGTAGTAAATACCGCCGGTAATTGAGACTGGAGAAAGTGGCCTTCACTTTATTGATTTGGTGACGGTCTCGGTGGCACTCGCCGGGGGCCACTGACCACCGTGTTGGGGCGTCAGTGGCACTAACCTTGCAGTACTCGGCTACGTGTCTTAACGTCAGTAGTGTGTTCCTTGGGGCACTGCCATAAACAGATGAAATGTATCGGGAATTCACCCTCCACACACCCCTCCTCCTGGCTCTATTTAACTGTCCAGTGTGTTGTAACGTTAGCAATACTGCCCAGGAGGCGGTGCTGACCAAGACGCCACAAGTCACCTTCTTAACTTACTGACGGAGGCATCGCTGGCCGTGCCCCATATGACCTGACCTGCCCTGCCCCTTGACATCAGAGTAGAATGCAGTGCTTGGGAAGTATTGCCCTGCCTCCTGTTGTCAGTGGGGAGGGCCGCCTAGGGAGGTACTGTGTGACGTCAGAAGGCTGCCCTGAGTAGGTACTGCTCTGCTGACGTCAGCGACTGGCCTAGACCCGTCCTTCCTCGCCTCGTCCCCGTACGTGGTCTTTGGCTCAGACCTCGGTTTCCCGACAGCCAAGTTCTCCTCGTACAGGGCAACAAGACGATGTTCTGAGCGTATAAAGAAGACTTAATTTTTAGTGCAGGTTGTTTAAAGACGCGCGTGTGTGTGTGTGTGTGTGTGTCGTGTTGGTTACAGCGGCACGTGCGCGTGGATGTTGTGGTGGGGTGGTGGGTGGGGGGGTGTCTTTTCGGTACACTCGTTGTGGCACTGTTCCCACCCCAGCTGTTGCCTAAGACCACCAGGTCAAAGTAGGGGGTCACCAATTCTCTGCCCTCACTTCCTATTTCCCTCCCTGGTTACCAAAGTTCACGGTGATCCACAATTATTTTTTTTTCTGGGTAAAACGTAGTATGTTCCTCCCTCAGCTTACCACCATCTGGGCCATTGATAAAACGCCGCCACTCGGGACCAGTTGCTGGCTGTGTATTCTCAACAAGTTTTTATACGCGTTTTGCATTGAGAATCTTCCTGTTTGACCTTCTTGGTGCATCTGCAACATCTTCATCTCACACTGTGTGATAGTTATGAGTACATAATGTGAATCAAACTGGTTAAGTAATAAGGTCGGTTTAACCCGACGTGGGCGCTGGGGTGGTGCTGCGCGCAACTAACAAGAGATGGCACCACCCGCGCCATATATAAGAGGATGGGCGGTGAGCGCTGCATTCAGTGAGAACGCACCCATATCGTTGAGAAGAACTGTGCACGAATGTCCACATTGGTGACCGATTTAGCGACACATTGGAGTACATTAAACACGTGATCAGCATGTGTAAGATCCAGGGGAAGACTGTTTGTACGTGCGGGTAAGTGAAGAACTATTCCTTCAGTACTTGTTACAGCTGACCCCAGGGGGAGGTATCGAGCGGCGGGCGATGCTCGTACCAGTCTTGCTGGAGACACCGTAGCAGGCGATGGTGTGGCTCTCCCTGCACGCCTTCCTCCCCCGTGGGTGTACTAACAATATTAACGTTCGTGATGCACCTGTGAGGGCTGAGGGTGTGTGTGGGGCTGGGTGAAACAGACAGGGTGCTAGAACATTCCCTCGGTATGTTACTGGACAGGTGCCAGTTTGGTTCCCTGCCACTGAAAAATGTGGTTTGGTATAGGTCTTCCTCCTGCCTTGGTTGCTGGGACGGTGTAAGACCCTCGGCTTGACCCTAATTGCTAGGTGACTAACCCCGAGTTAAAAAAATACAATAAAAATTAAACATACGATACACAAGAACACAACTATACCACACAGACTTTATTATAAAATCACTATCTTATTTTCCATCATTCCCATCAATTTGTGTGGAGTGTGACAGCTCAGGAGGGTATTGGTGGGCGTGAATGTTGTTAGGTGGTGGAGGGAGAATTTGTAAATATTGACATGGCGGACGGAGGGAGGGAGGCAGGGTGGGAGGGAGGGAGGGAGGGAGGGAGGGAGGGAGGGATGCGGGGCATGAGAGAGAGACGTGACGGTCACTCTTATCATGTGGTAGGACTCATCCCCATCTCCCTCTATCGTCTCTCTCACTAAATCAACAGTCACATTTTATAACAAACCTCTAATAACTTATACGCAC